ACACACACACACACACACAAACACACACACCCACACACACACACAAACACACACAAAAATGCACACACACGCACAAAAATATAATATCAGCGGATTCAAGATCCACCTTCGAGAGAAAGGTAAAGATTTTCTTTTTCTCTGAAGAGTGCATGTATACTACAGAGCTGGGTGTGTGCCAAGATAGCCTTGCGCAAAATGTATTACTGCTGTCCCCAAAACCAGTCAAATTGATTTCGAGGTACTTTTTAGCTTAGAAAAACTGTCGTCATGATAGAGTTCTTCTACATGTTATCACTGGCTTCCATGGCAGCTGTCACATGTTTCCCGAGCACTACGATTGTGCTAACTTTGTGTGACCCGATTATAATAACTTTCTCCGGGGTGCATGCAACTAATAACTGTTGGACTATTCCACTGTAACTGACTGGACATTTTGGACTATTCTTTCTGACAATGATAACACTGTAATTCAATATTGATTAATTTATTTCAACTTTAAATGATCAGAACATTTGAAAGACATACTAGGTATCATATGTGAGGCAGCGTGGTGAAATCAGACGCTCGTCAATTTCTGGGCATGTTTAGTTATTGGTATCATCTTAAAGCTTGTTCGCCTGCCTTTATTTGGAGGGGAAAAAAATATCCATTTATCTTGAATACAAGCCGATATATTTTCACTTGAAGGATGTGGGGGTCACCTGTTTTCAGAAGTAAAATTAGTGAGAAAATGGCCGCCAAAGATTAGTTATTTCCTTAGCTTAAGAGTTCGTGGTAACTGAAAACTTACGTCTTTTGTGTCTATAATCAACGTTTTTCAGAAAAATCCACACAGAAAAGAGTTCTTTAAAAGGCATGTAAGGTGTTGAGCCCAAAAACAAAAATTTGATCAAAATCCACAAACCTGCGGAAAAATGCAAGTTTCTTCACTTTGATTATTTTGACGAGAGCCTGATTCCTCCACGCTGCCTCGCAATTAATTGTTGCGGCAAAGCGGAGAATAGGCTTACAACTTGTAAGAATATTAAACGACAGATCTACCCATGAAAAGACCACCAGCAAGATTGTGGGCTTCTTTGCTATCAGACGTTGAACAATAATTCATCTAATTTGACACTACGTTTTGTTTGCTCCCACTGCCTTGTTGGTACTTAGCCGCTTTTTGCCCTCTCCTCTCGTGTTCTCTCTCTCTCTCTCTCTCTCTCTCTCTCTCTCTCTCTCTCTCTCTCTCTCTCTCTCTCTCTCTCTCTCTCTCTCTCTCTCTCTC